ACTTCTAAAACAAATTGATCTGTGATGTCTTCCCATTTTAGGAAACTAAATGATGAAGTCCAAATACCAAGAAAAGAATTATGAAAGCAATCACCGAGAAAGATATGAGAGAGTTCGAGGCACGATGAGGACATATATGATACAATAGTGACTTAAACATCTGCATGCTCTTGGCACAGTAGTTTAGAGGTGAAATACATGAAGGAAGGTAGGTGAAGGAGACGGTGGTGGTGGTGGTGGTGGTGGTGGTGGGGCCGTGGGGGCATTCGGTTTGTGAGAGGATCCCAAATTATCAACCAGACATACACTGCCCTCTGGTGGCGAAGTGTGTGAAACTGCATTGTCCAGATGAATACAAGATTAATAATCATTAAAGATTAAAGGCAACCAGGTACCTTATATAGTGAGAGTAACTGCCTTTAATCATTTGATTGAATTTCTCACAGCCATTAAAGCTGGATGACTCATCTTACAGACACTTCAGTTTTATAAACTTCTCCATCTTTTACAGTGACTGCAAGTGGCAAGGCATCAGGCTGCAACCCAAGCTGTCCTTTTTCAGGGTTAGGACATCTTGTCAGCAGATGCCCATTTTATCAAGAGAGTGACACACCCAACGTTTAGTGAGTGGTAAATAATAGTTGAGTAGAAAATCTTAGCTTAGCCTGACTTTACTTTGAACTTGTATCAAGGCCCTGGGATTCTTATTTTTTAAAGTTTGATTTATTTATGTATTTTATGAATGTGGATGCTTTGTCTGCATGTATGTCTGCACACAAGAAGAGAGCACTCAGTTGGGTGAGACTACAATTACAGACAGTTGTGAGCTGCCTTGTCGGTGCTGGGAATTGAACTCAGGACCTCTGGAGGAGCAGCCAGAGCTGAGCCAACTCTGTAGCTCCCTGGTGACTCCTTGTAGTTTACACAAGGGAATGATGTCCAGCCTGATAAGCATTGGGGAATTTTCCCCCTCTTTCTGCCTAATTGTTTTCAAGATCAAATACTTCATTGCATGTGTTGGTGGCTTATCCCTTGCTTTTAATAAGTATCCCATCATAGTTCATAAGCATATCATAATTTGCTTATTTTTTCTCTTATTTATGGACATGAACTTATGTCCATTTCTCATCTGAACACTTCTCATGGTTGAAGGGTATTCGTTTGTGGGAGTTTATTCTTTCCCTCTACCCTGTTAGTCTGCAGAATCAGACTCAGGCTTGGCGGGCTTTTCAGCAAGCACCTTTATTTGCCCTCTTCAGTCATCTTTCTGGACCACTTTTGCTCTGTGATGACTAAAGAGGATTCAAAGTTTGCCATTCTAATAGATCTCAGATACTGTATTAATTGGGTGTAACTATTTTGAGCAAACTATTACACCTGATATTGTAAACTTTCTTGATCTCTTAATGACTTATTGACTATTTAGTGAGGGGAAATTACAAGGAATGTCTAGTGAAATCAGGATGCCCATGTCCCCAGGGAAGGCTACGAAGGGTTTGAAGACCGGAAGCCTGTGGTGCCGGAGATTCTTATCTGCAGCACAGTGCTGATGTAAAAGGTGGATCTCAAATGCATTTGCACATTTGAGATACTTGAAAGCATGGCAGGCAGGGTCTGGGTGAAATGTGAACTCAGGCGGAGCGGGAAGGTCCACGGGAACTTAGAAATCACACAGGAAAATGTTCACCTATTCTGAGTGGGGCGTGTTGTTAAAAAAGAGATTTTTCTAGTGCTGATGGGAGATGTCTTTCTGTAGTCTGTGAATACATGTTTCTCTCATTGGTTGATTAGTAAAGCTGTTTCGGCCAATGGACAGGCAGGATGTAGCCAGGCAGGAAGTGTAGGTGGGGTTACCAGACTAGGAGAATTCTGGGAGGAGGAATGCAAAGAGTGGGTCTTGAGGGAGACCCCATGTAGCTGCCAAGAAAGCGAGACACTCAGGCCTCACAGGTAAGCCAAGACCATGCAGAGATACACAGATTAACAGAAATGGGTTAATAATTAAGACAGAGCTAGCCAATAAGAAGCTTGAACTATGGGCCAAATAGTTTATAATTAATATAAGCCTCAGTGTGTTTATTTGGAACTAAAGGGCTACGGGACCAGGTGTAGAAAGTAACCTTGCATATGACGGACTGACTCCACCCATACGTCGGGGCTATTTTTTTCTTTGTTCACATTTGCTTATTTCCAATCCAAAGACTCAACTCCATTGTCTATACCCAAGAGAAGTCCTGTGTCCTCTAGCTCCAGTTCTTTTAAATTGTTTACATATCAAGGTAAAATTTACAAAAGCAAAAAAGGAAAATAAAAAATGTGTCATAGAATAAAAAAGGGTCATAAATAACAACCAAATACTAAGTAGGTTCACGTGACTGCATATCACAAGCATCTTTCCAGCCTGCCCCAGCATGGCATGATGGTCTCCTTCTCTGCCCTAAACACAACCTCTGTGAGACTGACGCAGCAGTTTTTATTGTTTTATGTAAATATACACATAGGTCACTTTGATCAGTAGCAATTTTCTTTGAGGGTATAATGCTAGACATACAGTTGTACAACGTACTTTTTTCAGTTCAATGACTTTTAGCACTAAAAGATGTGCTAAAATCATAAATTCATACTAAGTGGAGTTAAAGAGGCATGGAGACCCATCGGTAGCTCAAAGGTAATGCTATATATGCTAACTCCAATTCCTTATTTTCTGTTCTGCAGGTCCCCAATCTGAAGATAATCATTTTTGGGTGGCTCCTTTTACTTCTTGCAGTTTCCTCTCTGGACACAAGATGGCAGGAGCTCTTTGGTACAAACATGGTTGTCATTTTTATCAAGTTGCAGTAGAAAGCAATACTAGGAAAGCCCCAAACAGCAGAAAGGAAGGGAAATCAAAACCTCACCTCTAAGGGTGAGCAAACAACATGGAAATGGCAAGATTGCTCCTTTTGGTTAATTGTCAGATAGCAGAGACAAAAGCAAACCAACCAACAGCAAATCTACACCAGGATGAACATACCAGGGGCAGAAAGGATTGGAAGCCCTTCCCCACTAGGCTGCACACAATTCGAGAAGCCTGCAAGAAACTGGAGCTATGTCCACAGTTAGAAAGGGCCCTGCAGCTCTGGCTAGCACTATTTGCACTTTTGACTTGGGTCACCCGACCACTCCAAAGGGAGTGTTTGTTTCCCTTCCTAACAACCACATGTCCCTGCTCCAAAAGACAGATAACCTGGCAAATGCCAGCCAAGTGCCCCAGGACTCATATCTGCCCCTATAACATAACCACGTACAGTAAATTGTTTGGTAACTGTTTTAGAAAAGCGGTTTTCCCCAAGAATACTTTTACTAACATTGCAGTCATTGCTTGGTGGTGGAATAAGACCCCCCCACACACTTTTTTTCTTTTACCAGTTTTTTACTTGCAATTTCCTTCCTTCCTGTTTAAATTCTGCATATGCATTGGCAAACTCACAAAAAACAATTAAAGGCTGCTCACCATACAATTCTAAAATATATCTAAAGAAGAAAAATAGGTTTTCTGTCATATACATTTATTCAGAAGTTGTCATAGCAACCTAATTTAATGACATTTCAAGTAAAAACTAAAATGGGTAAAAGTCATTATCAAATATTGTCTGTGTTAGCAATTCAATGGTTAGGCTGGGACAAATTGAGATGAGATCAGTAAGGACAGTAGTTTTGATAAGTACCCCCCTTTTCCTGTCTATAAACTCTGTTTCCCCTTGATGAACATGTGATAACTATAGCAAACAAGTATAGAGTGTTTGTCAGGCAACAAGACATTTGTGACATACTTACAGATTTAATTACCCTGGACAACAGACTTCAAGACACATACTATCATTAACTCCTCATCACAGGAAGCATGTCATGCCAAGGGGTCTAGGACCACATCGCTCATCAGAGCATCGGTGAAGTTTAAGCCCAGGCAGGTGTGGGCTGCTACTGTTTCTCAGCACAGCCAAGTAATTCAGTATCAGGAGGGAATGGGAAAGAGGCACCTTGCCAAACACGATTTTTATATTAAGGGTGCAGACACCATGGAAATGAAGTGCGGCTTGCACAAGGGCTGGTTGTTTTCTTAAAGAATCAAATCAATGCATTTGCTGTGTTCTTTTGTCTCCTGGAAATGCACTAAAATAGGGTCAAAACAAAACACTTCTGATTAAAATGAATTTAAGTAATGGTATTTTAGGAACAAAACTATAGCTGTGAAGCCCAACAAATGTGCTCCCTTTAAACTGAGAAGCTAAAACCTTTATTTTTGGCAACTCTAGAATGTTCTCCAAATTTGGAACCATGACTACACATGTGTACTTGTGAATGAATGTATACATTATATCACACACACATTGTAAGGGGTGGTGACTTGCTCTCTGGGGATGGATTTTATCGGGAATAATTACTAAATTATTTTGAGCTAAGAAGGGCTGGCAATGTTAAGAGCTGATGTTAAAGTAAAAGTAATTTTTGGCTGAAAGTAATGAACTGACCTTTTAAACATTCAGTTAGCAACCGTGACATTTACTTTCTCTAGCAGGGACTCCATGTCTTTGAATTCCGCAAGGTGAGTCTGAGTTCCTTCCTTCAGTCAACAAAGTATTTATTTCTTCTCCTGCTCATTAATAAGTTATACATTTGGGTGATAATTTCCTCTGTACAAACTTCATTCTATGTTCTGGATTATAACACCAAGTAGACGCTGATGGAACCAGCACCCACAGACAGGATGGTGATCCAAGAATGCAGCATGTCTGTGAGTTACCCAGCAAAGTCCTGCCTTCATTAACAGATCATTGGAAGGGATTTTCACTGTCTCTCTTCATTCTCATGTTTGTGGTGTAAACAGTCATTTACCCATCATTCCCAGAGTGGCAGAGATCCATTGCTATTCAGACAGTTTAGCAGTCCACAGTATTTGCCTGTGTGGGAGAGGCGTTCTCCTAGCCACTACTGCCATCTGCTGGTCTTGCTGTGAATAGCTAGATTTTGGAAAAAGCCGTGCACAGGACCCCAGTCAAGATGATACAGAAGGCAAGAAACATCAGTAAGTAGTTTCGGAGACCCTGGGTAATAATAAAAGAAGACTTAAATTTAAATTCACAATGTGTATATTTTAAAAAGATTGTCATAGACCTTTACTAAGTCATCTGTTCTTGGCTACTGGTATGCTGGCTTGACTCTGAACTTTCTTTGTTTCTCCCTCTCCTCTTCTCTCCCTCTCCCTGTCCTTGCCCTCTCTCTCTCCCTCTACCCCCTCTCTCCTTTCCTATTTCTCCCAGGAAGCCCTGAAAGAGTCCTACTGATTCATCCACAGAGTAACAGGTGTCAGAGCCCTCAGTGCCTGCCCTGAGAGAAAGGCAAAGAATGCTACAGTTGAGGGCTTTTAACAAGCAATCACCAGGTGGTTTGTGCATGTGTTCCTGAACTCCAAATGGAGCTGGTTTGACGAGTAGAGCTGGGCCTCTGAGTTGTTGTGGTCCAAGAAAGTGGGAAGCAGCAAGCTGAGATTCCCAGAGGGAAGAATTTATGTGCAAAGGCTGTTTCCAGGCAGTTTCAGTATGCCTGGAGCAAGGACAGGTGAGGACATGAAGGTGTGAGGATGAGGTGAATGACCTGTGGACAGTTCAGGAGCCTGTGGGCCTTACTAACCTTTGGGGTCCTACTTTTCCCAGCAATGAGAAGATATTAAAGGAACAGGAAGCTATTGGTGCTGAAAAATGTTAGATTTGCAAACTTGGAAAGGCTTCATTCTTTTGGAGAATGGGAAACATATTGGAAGGGCCAGAATGAATGTAAGGATACCAGGAGATAACCCTGGTCCTTGAGAAAGATGATGGAACACAGATGGGATGGTGAAGATGGATGCAAAGAAACAGGAGAGAATGGGAAGGGGCAGGATCTCCTGAGCTAATTGGGAGCACCAGGAGCCCTCATCCAGTGGCTGATGGAAGCAGCAGCAGACACCCACAACTATACACTGAACTGAATTCTGGAACCCTGTTGCAGAGAGGGAGGAATGAAGGGGTTGGGACCAGGCTGCAGAAACCCACAGAAACAGCTGGCATGTACAAGGGGAACGCATGGACCTCAGACTGGGAGGCCAGCACGGGAATGATCCAGACCCCTGAACATGGATGTCAATGAGGAGTCCTAGGCATTTTATGGGGCCCCTGGTAGTGGATCAGTATTTATCCCTGGTGTAAGAAGGGACTTTGAGAGACCATCCCACATGAAGGGATACACTCTTGGCCTGGACACGTGGGGGAGGGCCTAGGCCCTGCCCAGGATGATGTGGTGGACTTTGTGGAGCCCCCATGGAGGGCCTTTCCCTCCCTGGGGAGCGGAGGGGGGTGGGGTGAGGTCAAGATGGACAGGCTTGTCCCAATGCAGCTCAGTCATCTTGTGGTAAGCAGAAATACTTGACTTCCATAAGATCTATCTTTAGGGGTACACATAGATCGATTTCAATGTATCCTCCTGAGATTAAACCCTGAAACACTGAGAAACAATCTCTTCCTTGAGCATCCTTTCCTGATCATTATCTTGGCTTCTTCAAGCCATTTGTCACATAGAATGGTTCCTAGCATCCTCTCAGTCTTGGCTGTTCCTTCTGAATGATGGCTACTGGGTGTACACCTCTCTGTACAGAGAGGCTCAGTACACTGGAAGGCAAGTTCTGAACACTCTAAAGTAAAACCAGAATAATGCCTCGTGGATTTTAGACACAGAGTCCACCTTAGTGGACATAGTCACCTAGGCTGGTCTGGGTAGCCAGAGAGTCTCAGGGACCCTCCTTTCATTGCCTCTCCAGTGCTGGGATTAGAAGTGTACACCGCCACACCTGGACTTTTATTTTTGTCTGGATTCTGTGGACACTGCTGAGATAGCCTTGCTTCCAAACAGACTAAGCACACTTAGGGATAGAGAGATGGCTCAGTGGTGAAGAGGTCTTGCTGCTTTTCCAGGACTGGAGTTCAGTTCCCAGCACCACAATGGGGCAGCTTACAACTGCTTGAACTCTAGCTCCAGGGGCTCCAGCACCCTCTTCTGGCCTCTGCAAGCACCTGCACTCACACACACATACCCACATACTGACATACACACATAAATAATAAATAAAGTAAATTGAAAACTGTTTCTAAAAAGGAGTAATGAACCTTAACAAGTAATTCAAACACCAAAATTATACATACTCTTTTTGCAATTTAATGAACAATGAGGCTAGAGTATATTGATTTGCCTTTTATCAGAGCTTTCTAAGTTTGGTCTAGATGAGGTAGGTTGTCTGACTTTCTGGGAGTCTCAGCACTAATAATTGCATCTAATTCTCTACTAGTGAAGTGCAGCACCCCAGAGCTGCCTGATGGGGTCAGCTTCTGTACACGCGCACACACACACACACACACACACACACACACACACACACACACACACACCACAACAATGAGTCCCACTTCAGGTTTTCTAAAATCTTCAGCTTAGTTTTCAGAAGTCTTCAACCTTAACCTAGCTACTAGGACTAGTTCAGAATAGGCACTCACTAACTGGGTGTCTAGAGAATGAATACATTCAAAGGCTCTCTAGATTTACTTGGTGAATGAGAAAGGATGCTGTAAGTTGATGCAATTAAGTTAAAAAATGGACCCTTTAATTTTAAGTGCTGTGTGCCCAACTATTGGAGCTCTTTGCTAAGCCCCATGGTGTCTCTCAGCAGAAGAATGATGCCTTCAGTGGGTCCATTTCCCCATTAATCTAAGAATCTATGCAAAGCTCTCAGTTTCCTAGAGGAGAGGGATAGTTGGGGATGGCAACTATTTCCTTACCTGTATTTCCTTGAAAATGAAGATACCCCACAGCGCAGCGATAAGTCCAGGACCCTTAAATAAAAGAACTTTAATTTTATTATATATTTTTATATAACCACCCCTAGAAAAACACAGTAAGCTACAGGCAATGTAAAATATGTTCAGGGGAAAATCAAGGTAACACCAGTAAATAAGATTTATTTTTGTTGTTTCTGTCTTCATGGTCATGGTTGCTATTGTTTTGATGATATTGTAACATTTTCTGTCTTTTCTTTAGTGTGATATGTTTATGATAAACTATTTTAGCCTGGTCTAGTGGTGCAAGTCTGTATTCCTGGATACTCAGGAAACTACAGCAGGATTGAAAATTGAAGGCCTGCCAGGGCTAAAGACTGAGTTCAAAGCCAGCCTGGCTAATCTAGAAAAACTGTCTTAAAAAATAGAGTAAAATTTGAAAAGGGGAGGGCCTATACCCCAGTGGTATGGTGCTTTCCTCATATTCGGGAAATTCTGGGTTTAAACCAAAAACAAAACAAACAGAAAACCAAAACCAAACCAAACCAAAACAAAAAACAAATTCCCCCAACAGAGAGAAAAACAAAACCCCAAACAAACAAAAAAGAAACAAAGACAGAAAAGAAACAAATAACCTTCCTCTTTTTAAATAAGCCAATAGCTTGTTTTTCTCCTGACTTTATTAAATGCATATAAAGGAATTGATAAAATAAAGTATAAACATACACCTTAAATTTTCTCACCATTAAGCACATGGTCTGATCTAACAGCAGCAAGGGCATCATCTTTGCCTCATTAGACAATGTAAAGATGGCAGTATTAGGTCCCCATGCAGACCAACCGACTTTGTCTAACACTAAACACAAACAAACCCTAAAGGTAGTTATAGGAAAATAAAACCATGTAAGCAAGCAAGGGGGGTTACTGGAGGCAAGGACAAGAATGAAAAAATATACTCAATAGGAGATGAGAAGCAACAAGAGAAAAGCCACATTCCTATAATTTGAAAATGTGAAGCTGCTGCGATACGGTGTTAATGTTTTTTCACCAGCAAGGAAAACTGTGGAGTTGGCTTAGCTGTGATCTTGGTGAAAAAGACATACGAGATCAGAATTTTAATGACTCCTCTTTGAGCCCTGCAGGGACTCTGGAAGAGCTTCAATAAACAATTCCACAGTGTTCTCTCTCCCAGGACTACTCCCACTGTCTACAGGCCAGGCCCCACCAAGTTTGCACCCACTGCTTCTAGCATGTGGGGGAAGCAATAAAAATGCTTTGCTCTCCATTTGTTGGCCTTTGTTGGCCTCTGTGAGGTCAGCATCAAAGGGGCTGGAGAAATAGGTCAAAGGAACGGCCTTACATCAGTGATGTAAAGTGCTGATCCTCAGAATCCAAATCAAATGAGGAGCCCACGCCTTGAAGGGGCGGGAGGAAACCGACCGGGGGTAATGACAGACCAATGCCAATGTCACACTAGTTATTCAGGAATCTTTATCCTCTTCATTGTGAAGATGCATTTCCCTCCAGAAAATCGAGAAGATAGGACCACAAGGTGCTACCGGCCTCCCTAGCTTCCCACCTGGTGATTTTCTAATTGTTCCTTTAGCCATATTCTGAGCATTGCTGTGAGGATGAATACCGTTTTAGGAGGCAATACTGTGCTAAAGGAATGTACACCCCAGGCAAAGGTGAGCCAAAGAGCACTGACCAGCAAGTGTATCTGCTTGTCCAACTTGAACTATGGGTATTCCTTCTGTAAAATAAATCACATCACAGCTAAACCAGCCTTTGAAAGAGAAGGTGGGTTTGGTGCTGTGTTGAGAAGCCAAACTTAAAGTGCTGAGCATGATAACTGTGTACAAAGGCACTCAATAAAATATAGGTAATTATAATGATGGTAAGGAAACCAAGCCTGTGGATGAGTTGATTTGGTTTTTAGAATTGCTGGGGAAGAAAGGGAACGAGGGGGGGGGGATCCTGAGCAGGAAATGGGGTCTTCCTTCTTCCTCTCCATTTGCCTTTTACAAGGACTTTGGATCTAATAAAAGGATTTGAGACTTGTACAGTTAGGCCTTTTCTTTTTGTGCCAACAAACAGTTTCACTTTAAATGAGGAAAAATAATTCAGATTATTTGAATTTAGTTGTGTTTGGATGTTATCTGACCAATTTAGAGCCATCAAAAGTGCACTGTATGAGCCAGGCTTTGTGACACATGATCGTGTTTTCTAACATTCTGGAGGCTGAAGCAGGAGGATTTCACAGTTGAGGCCAGCATGGGTTACAAAGACACTGTCTCAAAAATAAACACCAAAGTATAATTTCAAACCCACAGCTTGTATTAAGCCTTTATGAAATCTGTTTTAGACTATTCAGTTTTTAAGGTTTTTAATTTTGCACATGTATGCTACTAAAATGATTTAGAAAAAAAGTGTTTGTCTTGATTACTGAGAGATAAGGAGAACATGTGGTCAGAAGAGCATAAAAGAGGTGTGGCTCAATGGCTAAGAGACCTATTGATCTTGCAGAAGATCCAAGTTCTGTTCCCAGCACTCACGGCGCATGGTTAACCAGCTGTCTGTAACTCCAGCTCCAGGGGATCTGCGCTCAGGTACACAGCCTCCCCCTCCCCCCCCCACACAGAGAACACATGAATACACATAATCAAGAATACCAATAATATCTTTAAGGAAAACACCTATGTTTATATACTCCCATGGATGGGAGAGTGTGCAAAATTATAAGCTGGCAACCCACAGGAATGGGGGGCATATTCTCTGAAGTTTCTGGTTTTCTCCAGTTCTGTGATTCAGCCAGTGTTATTGCTAGTGCTTCAATATCCTCATCTTCAAAATGGGGATGGTTGTGGCAGTACTTATGTCATGTCAAAATAAGCTGTTACCTATGCTTCACATAAGTAAGCCCTAAAGAGCCACTGAAGTGGACAGCAGTTCCCATGATTGGGGCATCATCATTTCTGGGGTCTTTCTTAACCCAGGGACACCACGTCGCGTCACCAAAGTAACTTTAGTTTCACATTATATTTACATTCCATTACACACAGGAGACTGAAAGAGGCATGAATAGAAAATTGTAATGTATCCCAGATGACATTCGATAAAATGACCAAAGGAAAAATTGCAGGGACGTAGGAAGATTAGGTAGGCATTTGCAAACCTGCTAAAAAGAGGCTATAAACATCACTCCAGAGCAATCAAGACCAAGGAGAGTGGAGAGGGACAGCTTGTCTAGGGTTACTGTCAAAACAACCCAGGAGATCAGCCACTTACAGCTGTGATGATTGGGAAGCTGATCACGGCGCTCAGCGAGTGGTTGGCTATGAACCAGCAGCAGGTGGCGATGGCCCACAGCACCCCTGACAGGAAGCCTGGAACACAAGGGAGTGTGCATGGGAAGGAAGGGTGCAGTACTCGGTTGAGCCTCATCCCTTCCGCACCATGGAATGCGAAAACGCACAGATAAAAGCAGTCTTATAAATGATGTTGGACCCCATGGGTTTTTGAGCTAGGCTTCGTGGTCACTTTGGAAACCCAGTGATTCCTCTGCTCCTCAGCTGTGAGATGAGGACCAGTCACCCCCTTTATTGAATGAAGGAGTAGCTGAGGTAGGGACAGGGCAAGCGAAAGGGTCCTAGCAAGTACTGGACTAGGACCTGACCTGTCTTCAAGAGCCGGGGGAAGAGAGTCCTGGCCTTTAAGTGAAAAACCCAGCTACATAATTCACAATGCTATAGCCAGGTGTTTAATAAATACTCTACTGTTGCCTATCAATCCGACATTCAAAACAGTCAAGTCACTTATGCTTTATTTTATGTAAAAGTATTTAGTTGTGGATATATGTTCCAAACTGAATTATGCTGAACTCTTCAGTGAGAAGAGTTATCTCTATTATTATCTCACTATTATTGTCTTAGCAGTCAATGACTGAAGGATTATTACCCCAAACACACTTTCTGTTAGCTCTCCAGGCATCTTCCCCACCCCATTTAACTTTTTGAATAAACTATATTTTCTAAGTGATTCCATACTTTATCTGTTGATACTTTTTTTTTTTTTTTGGTAAATAGAGGCAGGGGGCTCTGAGTTGTTATATAAATCTTGAAATGGTAGAAAAAAAATATAGTAAAGACTGGTGACCCTAATAGAATAGCTTTTAACATAGGAAACATCAAAACTCACTGACAGTTTTAGGTCCTGTGTTGATGATCAACATTTTGTGAACAATTTCATGGTGTTTTTCAATACTTATTATTTTATGGTGAACTGGACCAAAGCCATTAAGAGAACACATTGCCCCTCCCCCTCCCTCCTTCCCCTCTCCTTCCCCTCTCCCCTCTTTGTTCCCCTCCCCTTCTAATGGTTATTCAGGTTCATTTAGTGGAGGCTGGTACTTTCACAGAGTAGTAAGATTTTGTATAGCTAATATTATTTTCTTACCTGGTAAGACTGCCTCTGGATACAGCCTCGGCCTATTTTTCATGGCTACACAATAGACCATAAAGTAGACAGTACTTGTAAGAAAGATGCCACTGGAGTGTGCAAAAACATAGTCTAAATCTGAAAACACAGATGACAAAATGCAAACATCATTCCAGCCACCTCAATAGGCCTTAATATCTGTAACATAAAACATACTCACAGAAACGAACCTTAAGTGTAAAGGAGCATTAATTGTATTTAATCATCCTCATTCTCCATGTGTTGTTTATATAGAATTATAGTAAACAGATTTAAAATCTATAAATATTAAATAAATTAACTACAGTGAAATTTACTAGGCTAGTTTTCATAGTAGCCCTGGAAATCACAGTAAGAAATGGTGATTATTATTTGACTATACAATATGAAGTTTCCTTTAAAGAAGAAATATGTATTCAGCCCTATCTCTACTACTGTAGCAAATCTTGATGTAAACTGAAGGGGGAGACTGAATAAAAACGGGCATTCGTATGTGACCAAACGACATGGTCTGTTGCCGATGGCAGCTGTACGAGAGGTCATAAAGCTTTGGAAGTTATTCCAAGGGCAGCTTTGTCTAACCGTTTACAACAAACTAGCTCCACGGTAGAGATTTGTAATGACACATGATGGTGGCCCATCTTGGGGAAACCCTAATATCCCTGACAGCCTGAGCAGATGGGTGCTCTGCGGGAGCTTGGCTAGGATGTCTATCTTCGGAGTCAATGCTTCTATCATCTATAGTTTTGTCAAGGATGGGTGGTGGTTTTTGGATGAAAACCTGAACTGCATGTGTCTCCTTCTAAACTTAAAATCATATTGTAGATCCTAGAAATGAGATCCATCCATCTATCCATGGAAGGAGGTGGGGCTATTCAGTTAGTATCTGTAAAAGTTCTTACAACGGAGCACAAGATACATGTGTGCCATTAAACAAAATACACTAATGCCCACTGAGGATGATTTTTTCTTTTTAACAAACTGGAATAAAGAGTGCTCCTGTGAGACTACATCTATACAGCCAGAGTTGTAGTAACAATCCCTAAAAACTCATTGTCTATTTATATAGACAGACAGTTGAGGACATTGTTCATTATGTCCCAGGGCCAGGAGGGGCTTTATTCCCGAACACTCAATTGTTTTTAATCTGTCTTCACTGACTTCCGGGGCTGAAATGATTTCCCCTGTGGCTAAGAGAATTCTGAGAGCCAAATTCATGCTTATTACAAGCAAGTATACAAGTATTCTACAATGATGTCAAACTCATTTTGGCTCTGTTGATTCTTTCTGTCTTTTTTTTTTTTTTCTCTTTCCTGTGATTAAGTTTTACTTTAGTTAGTATCTTTAAAAAAGAAAAACAAACAGAAATCTAAAAAAATAATTTATGCAAAACTTTGAAATAAAAGAGGTCAGTAGAGGGTACCACACATGGACCTAAGTACGGAAAGTAGGACACAGGCTATGACAGCCTCAAGATCAGTAGTCAAGCTCAATCCTCAGCAATAACGCAAGTTCTCCCTGTGAGGACTACACTGGCCTTGAGCTTGTGACTTCCCTGCTTCATTTGCTTCTTAGGAGTTCTGTGTTTCAAATTTCTCCCTTATCTGGTTAAAAACCACATTGCTTTTCCACATCACCTAACCCAGAACTTTATTTTATTTGCCTTGCTTCCTTGTGTATGTCGTTCTTCCATGGAGTCACAAGACCCCTCCCCTCGAGTAGATCCTCATTTATCTCCCACTCAGCTTTCCCAGGGTTGTTGCATAGAATGTGGTTCCTGAGATACTGATTTTAGAACTACAGACATTATATTGACCCTTTCAGTGGACCACGTGGTGCTTGAAAAATAATATCCTCTGACTGAATAGGGTTGTATTTGACATTTACTTGGTTTAAGAACGGTGTACTACACTTTAGCTTTTTAAAAGCAGGTCATGATGCTTCCCACAGGTCATGATGCTGGACATAAACAACTCTTCATAATCTTGGAATCTTAGTGGAAAGCTGGGAACCCCGTGCTGAGATCCCAGCACTGGAAATGAACCCTGACTGTAGCTGATTTCATTTGTATGTTACAGATCCTAATATTCCAAAGGCCATTGTCACCTTTATTCCTGGTGCCTTCTAATTCACCACTTACAAATGAAAAGACAAATGCACACAGCAGTACTGACTTGATCATAGCTCTTTTTCTGTGATTAATGGAGTATCAGTGAATGTGCTCATGAAGTAGGAAACCTTCACTCACCATACTGACTAGCGCCTGCGTATATGCTCTCATTTCTCTTGCTGTGGTCCTTAATGTAAATGATTGGCACAAATGTAGATCCATAGAGGATTCCAGATATCACTGCAAGGCTGCAGCCCCTTAAGAAACAAAAAGAAATCGTGAATCTTGGCCAGAGGCAATGTTTTCAAAATACAAATAGAACCACAAGTAAGGCTTTCTTCAATATATAGATTTTAAGCAGTTTGGTAGGAGCTGCCCCTCTGTCTTGAGCCCTGTGACTAACAGAGTCATGAAAACAGAAGTGTAGACTTAGTCTGCTGTTATGGTGGAAGGACATGACAGGCTGAGGGAGTAAGAAATCAATACTAAAAATAGTCATTATACACGAGCTGAGAGGATTGCTACCCTTGGGTCATTTGCCATTCAAATAAACTAATGTATGAGGTATTTGTGGGTGGACATTATGTTCCTCAAGTTTCCCTCAAAAATATGCTCCAGGATCTGTCATGGAACCATGGCAGACTAAGGACAGATGAATTTTTGTTTCGGTTGAAGTGCCAATTGGGCCCAAGAATCTGAATATTTTACCTAAAAAAGATTCTGTTGTGAGAAGAAAAAATGTTTCATTTCAAACAATGCTAACTCCTTGGCCTTGAGCACTGGGTGCATGAAATGGACATGGGCATTTCCAGGTTGGGATTGTACAGCTGAATGATAGTGTTTGGCTAGCATGCACAAAACAAAGCAAGCAACTACTCCTGTGGGAGTAAGGAAGAAGACGGCTATTTTAGGACAGTCCTTCTGTCTTTATACACTAATGACTTAAAAGAGGGAAACAGTTTTAGGCAAGACCTCTGCCTTCAAGGCATGGTGACACAGCTCTGTAGTCTCAGAAAGAGAGAGAAAGATTGCATGTTTGAAGCAAGTATGGAATACATAGCAAGATGCTGTTTCAGAAATAAAAAACAAAGTAAGTAAATAAATAAAAACACCCCTAAGTCTAAACACAAATTCCTTGTCACTTTTAGTGTTTTTATTTAAGTACATTTAAAGGACACGAGAGTCCAGAACTCTCTGTACATGTTGGCAATACATTCCACATACACTGCCGATCCCCAACTTGAATGATGACAAGATTCCATGGCTCTGCGTGGGCCAAACACATAACTAGGGAAAGAATAATTAGAATTTCTTTCTAGGTGGCACTTGGGCTGGATCCCTGTCTCTCACATCCTAGGTGAGCACTTAATGGTACATCCTTTGAACTATAATCCCAGCACTAAAACTCTTTCCCTTCTCAAATATTCCCCCAGTGGGAGACATGCTTTGTGAGGAAAAAATCAAGAAAAATAAAAAAAAAACATTTTTAGGAAACAATTTCATTTTGACTACAAAATAGTAATTTTTTCTTTAATAGTTTGATTAGCTTTTGTTCATTCTTCATCTTCAGTTCATTTAATTTAGTCCAACATTCACTACATGGCTTCTTTCCCACTGTGAAGACAACGTTTTTGATGCCTTTAGGTTGGGATTGTACAGCTGATAGTGTTTGGCTAGCATGCACAAAACAAAGCAAGTAACCACTTCCTGGTCTTGGCTCCACAAACTTCAAACAGCCGTGATTTGTAAAAGGAAAACTGAATGCTGAATACTGTAACATGTTTTACATAACTTGGCCCTACAAGAAAAAAAAAATGAAAAAAACCAAATCACTAAAACCCCACACCCTAAAGTGAGACAGGTTGCTGTTAAGGCAACCCTGGAAATGCTATGATGGAGACATGGGGGTAGGCCTTACATGAGCACAGAATTTCTGTTATATTGCATAACGGACACCTGGGATCATAAAACTGTCACACATAAAAGGACGGTGGCAGTCCTGGACTGATGTAAGGAAATGCAGTGCACTGCTTAATTAGCTTGTGATACAACGTGGTCATTATGCAACTTCTTTATTTTCAGTACTTAAGTCCTATAGAATAAGATTGCTTTTGTCACTGGCTAACTGGTCAGATATACTACAGTGGTTGATATTCCTTGAGGCATCTAAGCTCAATGACCAACTTCTACACCAAAAACTCAAGAGGGGTGGAAAGAGCAACCCCTGCTCCCCAGGAGGTGGAAATTTTTGTCATCATTTTCTTACTGGGATCAGATGAGCAAATAAAAAACAAAATAGGTAAATAAATAAAAACTCCCCTAAGCCTATACATATTTCTTTGGATCCTTGTATTAACCAAACGTGAAACATAGGGATAGAAAGAGAAGCTGTCTCGCCTTACACAATGCGAGAGTACTTGGTAGAAAGTCTGTCCATCCAGGTGGACTCGGCACGGAAGTCTTCAGTTGTGTTGATCACCTGTAGAAATCATAAGAAAGACCTGCATACAAGGACCTTCATCAGACAGTTTCAGTGACACCAAAGGATGTCCAGATTTTTCTCCCCTCTCAAAAATGTTTTAGCACATACACACAAGTCACCTATGAGTTCTGGGAGTTCAGAGCTGCTCTTCTGACTCTGCCCCTCCAGTTTTCCACTTAAAATTTTTCAAAGATTAATGTGTAGCCATTTGATAAACTTAAGCTCTCATGATCATTAGTGTATTTTAATGAACTGTAAAGAAATTAGAACCAATAAGAGCTCAGACTTTCTACAGTAGAATGCATAATATCAATAAGCATTTTATGTCTCTTCTTCACTCAACAACATTATTTTAATTTTTTGTTTTACTGAACTAATGTACTTCTAGGCATGTTTCAAGTTTAGACTAATACTTAAGTTGAGAAAAACCTGTGAGCAGATTTGAAGAAAATTTTCCATTTCTATTACTGACTGTAATCTTCTGTGCCCTCCAGCTGACGTGTATGGCAGTAGATAGGAGCTAGATTTGAATTCATGGTCCCTGCTGAGTAAGGTTTTCCTCAGTTGGTGCTGTGGAACTCAGGCTTGTGCCTGCATTCTTATCCATCCTGATGCTCGACTATCTTTAATCTTGGTTGTTTGTACCCCTTGACCTTGCCTAGAAGATCTAATAGGCCTACCGTATGTCTCTTTTCAAGTTGTGTTTGTTTCGTTTTTATACTTTGTTCCTTTGTTCAAAGGGTGGTTAGCTGGGAGGCATCTAGATCCCTGGTTCAGGTGAGGAACACAAGAGCATTCTTTGGGGGCCAACTCATCTTTTCTAGAAGCAAACAGTGCTTAAAAATGCCCAGGAATTAACATCCCATTTCTTTCTTTTCAGGTCGGTTTAATGATGGTATCAGCCATCATGTTTGATAGAGGTTTGGGTAGGGAAAGAAGACAAAGGGAAGGGAGGAAGAGTAAAGGCACAGAGGTGAATCTGCCAGGGAGGCAAAGCTGTGGGTATGGGTGTGGCCTCTGAGGGTGGCAAGCAGCCAGGGCCTCGAGCAGATGGAGAGGATGGCTGAAACTGAAGGGCTGGCACTGGGTTCCTGGCAACATGGACTGCCCCTCATGAAAACTTTACAATGGATCCCCGGACATCTGGGCCATGTCATGTCTCCTAAGGTTGGCCCTGTTTAACACTGGTTGGCTATTTCATATCAACTCATATTTTTCATGGTCAAAACAGTGTCTCCTTGTGTATTTTCTGTTATTGTCATTAAGGAAAACATGATAAAAATAAAACCATAAATGGAAAGAAAATCAAGTCCATTTCCTACTGGCACATGATCTCACTGACTGTCATTAGCTCCCTCTGCCCATTCCTTCTGTCTACTCCTCAGCCTCCTGCCTCCTTTTTCCAAGTTACTCTTTCATCTCTCCACAGGGCTGTACAAACCCCGAATGTATCATCCATGAAAAGCTGCATTCGTATGTAGGGATCTATTGTCAAAAAAGTCAGCCTCGTGCTTAGGAAGAGGTGTTGCCATGGAAACCTGACCCACTTCTGATAAATATGCTGAACTATATTTATAGCCATGAGGGATGGAAAATACCAAATTCTTACATGTATGTCAGAGTTTTGTTTTGTCTTTATATCCTGTGGCAGTTTGAATGAAAATGGCCCCCAGAGGCTCATAGGGAGTGGCATTTTTAGTCATTGTGGCCTTGTTGGGGGAAGTGTGTCATTGGGACTGGGCTTTGAGGTTTCAGAAGCTCAAGCTAGCCCCAGTCTCTCTCCCCTCTCTCCCCTCCCCCTGCCCCCCTCTCTCTTGTCCTCTCCCGCATCTTTCTTCCTGCTGCCTGCTGATCCACATGTAGAACTTCTGGCTCCCTTTCTAGCACCATGTCTGCCTGTGTGCTGCCAAGCTTCTCATCATGATGATAACAGACTAAGTCTCTGAACTGTAAGGCAGCCCCAGTTAAATGTTTTCTCTTATGAGAGATGCCGTGGTCTCACCGTCACTTTATAGCAATGGCAACCGTAACGGAGATACATCCCAGTCTTATGTTTCAAATCCAATTGTCCCACACAATACTCACAGGTTCTGTCATCAGTGGTGTGTTGTCGACATTGCATGGAGTATTAGTTTCACTTTTGATGAACAAAAATGTGAAGACACTGAAGGAAAATACATTCCAGTGAGATTTAACAGCGTGCACGCACACACGCACACACGCGCACACACGCAAGCTTGCTCTAATCAAGCTGCCTTATTTTTAAGAGAAAAAAAAATTTAAATTGAGTCCTGATAATAGAATTACTTCCACACACACCCTGTTGAGGGCCTTGTTATCTCTTCAGAGTCCCATTTTCTTTGATGGCCTTTATTTATCAGGGTAAAGAACAAACCCAAGAGACTTCCCCTAAGTTGGATCTTTGTCCTGATTTCCCTGTTTTAGTCAATGGTCTCATCTTTTTTATGACTCTCGCTTGACTTTGACATAACACTATGTGAAAATAAAAATGAACACAACCCTGATGTAAAAAATTAACGATATCCACAGTTGTACAACTGCAAGGAATGGGCACTTCTACATGACAATGATATTTGTGGTGAAGTGTACTCTTTCTGGAGGAGAAACTGAAAAGGTGATACCATCTATTTTACTTTCCCTTCACTGCTACTGACTGTAGCTCTACTGACAGGAGCAACAACACTCAGATGATGTCATATTGAAAGCCAAATGATGGAATACTACATAGCTATATTCAGGATGGCTTCAAAGTTATGATGTGGAAAGAACTCCAGGGTGTAATTTTAAGAGATAAAAACACATATCCCTAAGTCTGGTGATAGTTTTCCACTCTTAAGGCACTGCCTACCCATGACCAGCATCTCCATAACAAATGCCTTACTTACTTTTGGTTGAACTATGCAATACATTAAGATATTAAGAAAATGGATAACTTTGAAATACTTTTGATATTCATTTAAAAATGCCCTTAAATGCATTTTCATGTTAAAAATTAAAATAGGAAGCTCCCAGAGTGTATTTTAGGCTTATACAGGGTATCTGGGTTCAGAACAATGAGCAATGTATGTTGATTATGGTATCAGAATGTATATATTCAACCTGCTCAGTCTGTATAATTTTTAGGGATGACATTTGGCATTGGATAACCAATTGGTGTGTTATTACCTGGAAAACTCTCTGATTGAAGCTGTTATCTTCCCTCCCCCATGTTTCACATCCTGGATTTTCCTTTTAAAATATTTTCAGGTGCACACACAACCCATATCTCCTCTTCTTGGCCAGATGAAAAAGAGCCAAAGGCAAACAACTCCCAGAGTGATCCTTACTGAATTACCCCCTAGATTTAACAGTCTGAGGGCTTGTCACCGCATGGGCCAGACCACGTACCCAATTCCAGACAGTTTCTTTTTCTACCGGTTTTTTACTTCAACAGAAGACAGGAATCACATTCTGTGTCATCTTAGAGTATGTGACAGCATAAGAATGGCTGTATTGAGTCTAATTACATGCCTATGCATAAGTAAGTTAAATGTATACATATGTGCAGATGCAAGTGTCTGCTTTTAATCTGTAAGGCTAATATTAGATGTTGCAACTACATTTTTCTTTAGAAATGAAAATCTTCTGCCCTTGTATAAACTCATCTGATTTTCTGGTAATATAAAATGATGTTAGATGCTTGGAAGTTACAGGTGTGTCCTTTTTTTCCCTTAAAAAGTAACACTGCAATAAATGGCTTAACCTCTTTGAGACCTGACCTTTCTATCTGTGAACAATAGTTTGCACTGTACTGTAAGCACTATAGGCAAAGGGAAGGATAAAGCACAGGGAAACTGGGAATGGTATTGTTAAAATTCCATATGGACACATGAATGGTGAAGAATTCAGGACTGTAAAAAGCACACTCAGGACTCTTCTGGAAGGCAGGTGATGCATGCCTGTGATCCTAGCACTTGGGAAATCAACAGTGAAGTTCAACGTCAGCCTGTGCTAAGAGTTCTAGCGTAATATGAGCTATATATCTAGACCCTGTCTCAAAGACAAAATGATAGAAAGAATGGATTTTATAAGATTAAATGCAGCACACATTTTGTAATGTAAAGGAGGAAATAAAAGGTGGCTACAGTTTTTAATTAGAATCACTGCCTTCAACTTGTCATTTCACATAGATGGAACAGGAGGTACCTGTGGCATTTTTGTAAGGCTTTTCAGCCTAGTGCATAGTTAGACAAAAGGACTGCAGTACTATGAAAGGCAAAGCTAGAAACAAAGGCCTGGACTTCCTTGTGATGCAGACTAGTGACTAACGTTGGGTGGGGGAGTGTACAACACCCTAGAGAGAAATGATAAGAGAGAGAAAGAGAGAGAGAGAGAGAGAGAGAGGAAAGAGGGAGAAGGGGAGATTCTTGGATAATCTTGGATAATAAAAGAAATCTGTCAGAAAGCTGAGGAAAGAGGATAGCAAGTTCAAAGCCGTCCTGGACTACCTGGTGAGGCCTTACACAGGCAGGCAAACAAGCAAGCAACAAGCAAGCAGCAAGCAACAAGCAAGCAAGCAAATCCTCTGCTATTTAAAAGCCCTAGAGCATTTTCAGTTGTATAAGCAAACTGACTGGTATGTTATACAGTGAGAATGTAAAACTAGCCATTGTCTCACCAATACTTTAAAGACTGGACTGTAGAGGACTGAAATGACCATTTTAAATATAAAAAGAAAAGCATCATCTGGTCTGGGGAGCTAGTTCTGTGGGTAAAGTGTGTGCTGTGTAAGAATGAGTACCTGAGTTTGAATCCTCAGACCTTACATGAGCACAAACACATGCAATGAGAGAATATGTATTCCCATGCTCCCACAGAAAGATGGGAGGCGGGGACATCAGAGTTCCTGGAACCTTGCAGGCCAGTTAGCCTGGTGTACACAGCATCGATGAGGTCTATCTCAAAAAAGATGGAATTCAAGGACCAGCACCTGAGGTTGTCCTTTGACCTCCATTCATGTGCCATGACACCTGTGCACCCTAATTCACCCCCTCCCACACACAAGCATACACACAGATATACACAGGCACACATAAACACAGACAGACACACATGCATGCATGCATACACACACGCACACACACACACACACACACACAACCACACACACAACCACAGCCACATCTATAACCAATGGAACTATATTTCATTTCTTCACACTACCAAGATCTCTAAATTCATGTAATCAATGCCCTACAAAATGAATCAAAAGCTATTAAATTAAACTAATCGAATAAAAAGATTCCCGAAGTTCCATCTAGAGAGCAATACAGATGGGGCCTGACTGCCTCACAGGAAGATATCTCTGCATTTCCCGGCTGCAGATCCATCTCTTTGTTGTTGTTGTTGTTTTGTTTGTTTGTTTTGTTTTTTGTTTTTTCGAGACAGGGTTTCTCTGTGTAACTTTGGAGCCTATTCTGGCACTTGCCTTGGAGACCAAGCTGGCCTCGAAATCACACAGATCCGCCTGCCTCTGCCTCCGGAGTACTGGGATTAAAGGCATGTACCACCAACGCCTGGCCCAGATCCATCTTTTAACAGATATGAAATTTCTGCAGTGCACCACTAATTTAACATTAACTGAGCCACCAACAAATGTCCCAAGGGGCAACTATATGTGAATATAATAGTACAGTTGTTTGGGTTCTAAGTGTCTCCAAAAGGCTGTGCTAAAGATTTTTGGTGACTGGTCTACCTGCTACTGGGAAGCAGTCAGCCTTTAAGAGAAGGGGCTCAATCAGAAGTTGGGTGGTTAGGGGCATGCCTTTAATGGGGCTTGTTGGGTCGCTCTGCTTTCTCTTTTGTTCCCCATGGTAGATGGCTTTGTTCCTCCACATTCTCTGGTCACCCTCTGCAGCTTCCCTAGAGCCCCCAAACCATAGGGGTGATTTATTATAACCTTTTCTCTTAAGTTGATGATCTCTACTACAGAACAGATAGTGAATAACAATGGAAACCACTTCACATGTGGAGCTTAAACCATGTGTCTAGACATACAAAAGCTCTTCAAGCATTTATTTCTCAAATTATCTTACAAGATTGCTACTAGCATTACCCCCTCTTTCCAGATGAAGACAGAAAGGACTTGGAGAAAAGATCTGTCCAAGGTCATATGGGTAGAAGTGGCAGAATATGAGTAACCGATTTGTAATTTTAGAGAAAATTTTGTTTTTCTAAAGATGAAATTTGGAGAGTACTTAATGCACTGGATAGACCAACCTTAAATTATTATCATTAAGTTAAAACTAGACATGCTAAATTAGAATTTTACATTGTGCAGAAATTGTCTTAGAACTACTGAAAGCTAGAATTCCATGTGAACTGTATAAGTCACATAAAACTGCCTCTAACCAAATGTGTCAAGAATTTACAGTTTTAGAATAAGCTTTGCTATTCGCCCCCAATTGCCTAGGGACTACTCTCTAAGGCAACATTTCAATGACAAAGAGATTGTTCCGGAATGTGGCTGGGGAAAAGCACCGTAACTGGAGGGAGAGAAATATACTGTTCTTTCCCCGAAGACTAAAAAAGTACTAAAATCTTTGTAGGCAATGTTATTTGTTATGTGCTGCACTGACAGTGGATATAAATGGAATCCAGAGAGAATAGGTGACTGAATTTAAGGTGACCTAATTCTTGTTTGAGTTTTACTGGCAACACGCCACTGTGTAGACATTCAAAGTCATTTTCATCCCCATTGATATAGTATGAATAAGTAGAGGGAGAGACATGGAAAGCTAGGTATTCAAAAGAGAATGTGTGAGGGGAGAAAGTGGTAACTGGGTTAAAAAGAATGAATGGGAGAACAGGGCAATGGAAGCTGGAATCAGTGGTCTGCAAAGCTCTGCTTACCTGTGGTCAGCCATGATCTGGCCAGCTAAACTCAAGGCATACACACTCCTATTTTAACCTGTGCATTGCCCTGTATAGCAGGATGCTGTCTCCTTGGTCTGAGGCCAGGGCCATGAATTAGCACCCCTTTTCCAAGTTAGCCACACCAAAGAACTACCCAGCACTTAGTCACTTGCAGTCCCCTTGGCCAAATCCACTATAGTGATTTGCAGGACTGGATTCAGATAACCTGAACACAAATCACAAGAGGGGTAAAGCAACCTGGCAGATCCAATATGCCAAAGAGGACCCATTTAAGTGTTCCTTTTCAGTGAAAAGGTGAATGTTCTCAGCTTTAAAAGAAAAGAAAAAAAAATAACTACACTAAAGGTGCTAAGATCTACAGTAACAAAGCTAACACTAAGTTGTAAGGAAAAGATATTTCTGCTAGTTTTTTTTTGTCACTCTGAGACTATAAAGGTGCTTAGTTAAAATGGAAAAAGCATGAAGCTGTAATGTTTGATACTCCCCGTGTTTCAGCCATCCTCCGAGGGCACAGCATCCCCCCTGGGTGAGGAGTACTGTACTAAGTAGAACCAGCAACCATACCAGGGGTGTAGAGAGAACCAGAAGAACACTGACTTGGATAGCATGCTTCTGTAAGCAAAATAACTTAATACATCCTGCTCTCCAAGAAATGTACTATGATTCTCTATCTAGCATAGACTTTGAAATTGAACTTCAGAGCGCTTAGGTGATGTTTCCCAGTTTCTGGAGTTTCTTATCCCCCCTCATTTGTTATTTCTTCTTCTGGAAATAAGGCCTGTCTTTGAAAATTAAGAATCAGGAAACTTACATAAAATTTACAAAATGTAGGTTTTAAAAAATGCAAGGATATCAAAAGCTTTAGAGAACAGGACTAGAGGGTTGTTGGTTCAGTGGTTAGGAGCACTGGCTGCAGAGGATACGGGTTCGATCAGTGCCCATATGTCAGTTCACAACCATCTGTGACTGCAGTTTCAGGGAATCTGACACTTTTTTTCTGCTTTCTTTAGGCACCAGACACATACATGATGCACATACATGCAGGTAGAACATTCATACACATAAATAAAATAAATATAAAACCAATCTTTAGAGAGCACTGTGAATGGCCAAACGTGGTGGCTGCAGACCTTACTACTGACAGCCCAGCTCCAAAGTAATTCAGCATGGGGTTTGACACTTCTTCCACATCCATCCCAAACCAGCCAAACCTGGAAATTGAGAAGAATATCAAATTAGATACTGTTAAAGTGTTTTTAGAGCAATGCTTAAGAGACTAGGCTGAGAGCTGACTATTGAAGTCTTGGCTCTTGCATGCACTGTTCAGCTTTGGATAAGTTACTTACTTTTCTACCCTGTGCCTCCAATTTCCACATTAAAGTGGAAAAATTGTGTTGAGGCATTCATTCCTGTAATTCCCAGAGGTAAGAAAGAACTGAGGGCAAGTCTGGGCTACAGCATTTAGGAGGCAGAAGCAGGTGGATTTCTGGGAGTTTGAGACCATCCTGGTCTACATATTGATTTCCAGAGCATCCAGGGCTACATAGTGAGATCCTATTCAAAAAACAAAACAAAACAGAAACAACAGCAAAACCCAAATAACCTAAAACCAAAGCAAACCAATCTACTACCATGGGAAAACGTGTGTGATTGCATGTGTGCATGAATGTGTGTGTATTTGTGTGTGTGCATGTGAACACACATCTATCTTAATGGTGGGAGTCAAACCCAAGGCCCTGCATGACTAGACAATGCTCGCTCTAACACTAAGCTACATGTCAAGCCCTTCTACAATATTTGAGGTATTTAAAATGGCTTCTCGGTTAAAAATTCCTATTCTTCGACATCAGCTTACATTCTTTTTATTCATCATGGTTTGACTTTGTTATAATCATTATCATTCATCATAAGCAGCTATCCAAGGGTAAGGGAGTGAGGCAAGCAGAAAAAGTGAGGCAAGAACAATGTTCTCTGTTCTCATGCCCACATGTGAGAAGTACATGTGATACTAACCATGGGCATCACACATTGTTCATGGACCTTCCATGAGAGTATTGTGTTCTTGTCCATCCATGTCCTGTGTGAAATGGGAGAGCCACTGCAAATGTAACAAGTACCACTGGGACACAGAACGTTCAAATCTGTCATTTTAATTAGCTTAAGTTTCCATACAAAGGCCACCTGAGGCGTGTGACAAACCTTTTGGACAGCACAACTTTCTAGCTAGCCCGAGTGTTATGGTGTGGTGATCTCCGTTCTTTCAGCCACTATACTGTAAAAGCAGTCACAGACAATGATACTTAAATGTTTGTATATGGATACATCTCAGTAAATCTTTACCAAACGCTGGGGAGATGGAGCCACAGATTGATGCTCTGTTCTCAGGAAGAGCATCTCCTTTAGAATTGGTACCTGGCTAGAACCTGACCTTCAGCATTTCAGCTTCTTTGGGTGTCAGCTCTCCTCTAGTGCCTACCTCATATAACTAAAAAATGAGGTAAGAATGATGCACATTAACATGTCTATCAAACCATCATGCAGAAGAGAGGGAAAGGAGACATCGGCTGACTTTCTCCCTACTTGTGTCCCACATACAGGTCTTCACTTCTTGTTTTGATTTCCTTTGATATATCTTAGTCACTTACAAAAAGCTTCAGACACAATAATTAGACATGGCTATGTGTCCCAGCCACAATCTGAGACTAAGGACCATGTTATTTCTCCCAATATGGCTAAACCCCAGTTTACATTGAATTCAGGGTGCAGGAATCTTAAACTAAGATCATTTCAATTGTGTTACCTTGAGCTTGCCCAGCCAGTTAAGGTATTAAATGATCCCCAGATGAGGATCCCAAGTCCTAAACCGATGGTTTTGATAATTGGGACGACAGCAATGTTCCCTGTAGATACAATACACAGGAAAAAAAAAAAAAGGTTACTTCCGGTACGACGGATGCATTTCTAAGTTAAATTAGTGTTTTTTTTTTTTTTTTTTTCTTTTCTAACTTCAACTTCTGCCCCAACTCAACTTCAGAATGTGCTTTGCCATGCCTTAGCCCTTGAGGGTCACTCAGGGCCAAATTCATTATGGTGTTGAATGTTGTCACTAGCATGGTTGTTAGAGACAAGGTCTTGCCATGTTGTACAGGTTAGCTCCCACTCTTGCTCAAGAGATCTTATCCCGCAGGCCCCAGTAGCTGGGACTGTGGCTGCTCTACCATGCCCATCTCCTTGATGCTCTTTATAAATCAGACTACCTTCTCTGCAACCTAACTCAGTCCTGCAGTTACCTACAGGTTTCTTCTTTAGATTTGTGAGTCACCTTTGTCTCTTGATTTCCCCTGTTGACTAGAGGCCCGTGTACTTTGGGACACAGCTCCAGTCTAGAGCAACTTGAGTTTCAGAGTTGTACTATGAACTGCTGAAGAAATTCTGCAAGTAGGTGTCCTCCACTGTGGGGATGTTAGAGCCTTTAGACTCACATGGTACTGCTCCACTTATTTTCCCTTTGAAAAGTTCTTCTGGTCAAGGTGTTGGTGTCTCCTTTCTATCCACTTACAATAAAGTTCTTACACCTCCCTCCTCTCTTTCTTCTGTGCCCAGACCAGCTGGTTGTTACAGTCTGTAACATGGTGATATTTCTCAAGTTTGGCTCCCTACTTCTTCACCTTGAGCACAATGGAACCTGCTTTAGAGACAAATGTTCTTGTGTCTGTAAAGATCTGCACAATGGACCAGGTGGTGGCACATGCCTTTAATCCCAGGACCTCCGAGAGTTAGAGGCCAGCCTGATCTACATAGATAGCTCCAGGTCAGCCAACACTACATAATGATACCCCAGCTCAGAAATATAAATAAATATATTTTAAAATTATTTAATTAAAATTGAATTTCAAAAATTAAAAAAATGCTCACATTGGTAGTGTATATACTAAAACTGGAGTGATTCAGATAAGATTAACATGCACCTTGCACAAGGACACATACAAATTCATGAAACATTCCATATTTTGCCCCAGCTTTGTCACACAAAAAAATCTGCAGGTTGACAAAAGTGAGATGTGTCTCATCTGCAATTCCATCCGGAGTGGAGGCCAGAGGACTCAGAGTTCTAGGCTAGCCTGGGCTGAATAGTTCCACTCTGCCTCCAAAAACCACCAGGGAATGAGTGAACGCTGTTCTCTCTCCCAATTTCACAGGGTCAACAATCACAGAGGCACATGTGAGGTATGGTAATGTAAATTCTAGTGGAAATGTAAAGTTATACTTACTTAGATCTCAGATTAATACATCTTATTAAATCATTTATTCCCTACGGTAGTTTAAATGTAATTGACCCCTGTAATCATATAGGGAGTGGCACCACTAGGAGGTGTGGCTTGTTGGAGTGGGTATGGCCTTGTTCAAGGAAGTGTGTCATTATGGGAGTGGGATTTGAGGTTCCCTATGTTCAGGATACCTCCAAAGATGGGCTTTCAGCTACATCTGCCTGCATGCTGCCAAGCTGCCCACCATGATGATAATGAACCAAGCCTCTGAAACTGTAAATGCACCATTCCATTAAATGTTTTCTTTATAAAAGTTGCTGGGGTCATGGTGTCTCTTTACAGCAATAAAAAACCCTAAGTCCCTTGAAGACTCAAGTGGGTAAGGAATAGGATTCTAACATTTTCAATTTTATTTGCTTCTAATAAATTTATATCTTTAAGATTTTTAGTAATTTTCTTTGTTAAAATAAAAAAAGAAGAACTTTCTAGGGTGAATTCATATTGAGAAAAGAACTATTTCTGATTGGCTAACTGGAAATACAAATTCTGCTATAGACTTTAAGGAATTGGTAAAGCAACAAAAGGACTTTTGATTGTCTGTTTTCTTTGTCAAATGTTACTAAAAGTGATTATATGCCTCTATTTGCCAGCTTTTAAGGGTAAAGTCTAAAAATCATGTTAACAAAGGATTATTCTTTAATTAACGTGTTCTAATAAACATGCTGGGGAAAGGTCAAATTTATAAAATGGCATCTAGGTTATACTTTAAAAGGATCAACTATCTTTGCTAGTTTTCTACCAGGAACTTACAACATTTAAAGGGGAAAAAATCAGGACATTTCCAGGAGTATCTGAAAGGAAACCAATTCACAGCTCATGTCTGCTATCTGCATCTAATGACTGTGACCGCTGTTCTTTTTCTCTTGGTTGTGAATATGACCGTGCGACCACTCTATTAGGTGAATACACACATTACCTGTTGCCCAAATGCAGCCACCGAGCATCGCAAAAGGCCAGAATTTAGGGCAGTGTAGTATCAAGTTGATCACCAAGGCAACCAACCAAATGGCAGCACAGAGCACCCACTGAAGGAACATCCCTGGAAATAAGACAGCCTGGCATTACTTGGTAGAATGTTTTGAGAATATCTGCAAGATATTCTTAGAAGAACAGACATAAGTCATGAAATGTCCCCACAGTAGGCATGTGGCACATTTATTCTTACAACTACTCAATGTCATAACTGACCCAATCTCGACACTGAGAAAGCAAATTTGAACTTATTCCAAAAGCTGGGAGATGCATTTCTAACCGGACCATAATCTTTAGATGCTTGACACCAAGGCCCACAGTGTGTTCCTATTTAACATCCTATTCTGTCACCTGTAGACAAATCAAGACATTTCTGTCAAAGAATTTTGAGAAGGTGGAAACTTCTAAACAGTAACTTAATTCTTGGGAGAGAAGTGGCCATTTGTGGCTCATGCAGTTGGAGTTCAATTACTGTGATGAGACTGATTTTTACAAGCCCGAGATTTAACCTTCCAGGTCAGGTCTCTTCTGCTTCTTACGATATAAGATGCTGCTGGCCACTCACCTAAAGAGGAAAAAGAACTTCATGCTACAAGTGAGAAACTGGAACCAAAATGCTGGGAAGACTTGATGGGCTGGGGGTGGCTCAGACCAGAACAAATCTAATACGTGTAGAAAAAGGCCATGGGTTCAGTTTTCAGAAACACACACACACACACACACACACACACACACACACACACACACACACACATGACACTTGTCCAGGATTGCAAACCCCAAAGCTAGTTCAATTGCCCCTTCTGGTTATTTTTGTACTAGTTTCCGTGCCTGTCAAAGTCCAGGCAAGGAGATTTGTAATCCTGTTGTCTAAATGTATGAAGACTAAGGAACTAGTGAGATTTAAAAATAACTGGGCTGGGTGTGGGGGTACATATCTTTATTGCCAGCACTCAGGAGGCAAGGGGCAGGCATATCTTGAGTTTGAGGACAGGCTAAACAAAGAGAGTTCCTGGACAGCCAACACTACACAGAGAAACCCTGTCTCCAGAACCCCAAACAAACAAGCAAACAGCAAACAAAAATAACAGGGATGTTACCTCCCAGCAGGTGTTCACTGAGTAAAGGGAGGTCAGATTGGCAAAAGCAACTCTTGCTTTCCTTCTCTAATGATCTGCTTGCACTGTCTTGCTACACCATGACGTATGCATTTCTAAAAATTACAGTGCTGTGCAAAACCATGCACTGAAAGTCTCACAACAGAACCAAATCTGGTTTGGGGAATGACACCGAAAAACTACACCAGCAATGTATTTAAAAACAGTAATTAATAAACACAGTTATCAGTTTTAACTACCTAATTGGTTAAGTACAATAACAATACACTAAACACAGCCCTTTAATTTAAAAAGGACTGGAGGTTTGTGTGAAGGGAGCAAAGAATGAAGCCTGTGGATCACAGTAGGGCTGCTGCCATCAGGGTCTGACATCAGATGTGTGTTTGGGGGCGTTGGGGGGTGGGAAGGGGCTTGAGACACAACACATACATACACTTGGGCATCATGTGTGGAGAACTGAGAAAGCCTGTGGTCTTTTGCCACAGTTTTGTGGCAAAGGATGTGTGTCTTTGTATGCACATGTAAACTGAGGAAGCCTGGTGTACAGCTTTGTGTGGAGGAATGTGTAGGTTTTTGTACTGCCACACATCTTTCTTTAACAGGGAGGAGCTTTCTGTGTTTGCATCATGGTTTGTCAGAGAACTTGTTCACTACTGAACAGGTGTGTGTTATGTTCAGATTGGCCTCTCATGTATCAACTGTGCTGAAAATTGGTTTTCGAAAGAATGCTGATAGTGGAACTGACCATATCGTACCCATTTTATAAACACAGCAGCCACAGCCAAGAAGCTTTTCCAGTGGTATCCACCCTGCTTTTTTCACAAAGCACAATCTGGCCTCCCTGTCCTGACTCATTCCACAATGGACACTTCAAGAGATGATTTATGTGAGTTCTATTAACTAGATACTATAATCAATAAAACATTTTTTTTCAGCTGGTATTTTTAAAAGATAAAGCAAAAACAAGCAAGTAGCCAAGACACTTAAAAGCAAGTTTAGGTTATTTAAAAACAACAAAAAAAGCCAATTACCATCACCCGTGTCATATTTTTTCAGTGGTATAAAGTTGGAGCCAAACAAGAGAACTGCTATAGCAGAGGAGATGTAGCCGGTGGTGAAGTCTGTTCCGTTACTGCTCATGGTTGCAAGGGTGGTGGACAATGAACTGTCTCACTTTTGGCCTATGTTTTTTCAGGAGTTTCTGAAACAAAAGAAATAGAATGAAGATGAGAAGCTGTGAAGCCTGTGAACCAGTCGTGATCAGAACATGAGGTCTTTTGATCAAAAGCAGGCTAAGGCTCCCTTTTTTCGGACAGTCAGGTCGTTAGCAAAAAACTATCATTTATACACAATACTCAAAATTTGTGTTTTTCATTTGTTCTACCAATAATTTTTTATCACTAACTTATAGTAAGATAAACCAAGTTTTTTTCCCCTTAGAATTTGAAAATCTAACTTTTTACAAGATTTGGATCCAAATTTTCTACATTACAACAAGTGTTTTCCTGTAAAGTGGACTAGCATGATGGACACATTTCTGGCTTGGACTTTATTTTAACCAGTTGCTGTGTCAAATCTTTTTAAAAATATTGCTTTTTAAACTAAAGTTAAAAAGGATACAGAGAGAGGGCTGGAGAGATGGCACAGTGGTTGAGAGTACTGGCTGTCCATCCAGAGGACCCAGGTTCAATTCCTAGCACCAATGTGGTCGCTCATAACTGCCTGTAACTCCAGTTCCAGGGAACCTGACACCCTCACACAAACATATGCTCAGGAAAAACACCAATTCACATAAAATAAAAATAAGTTTTAAAAAAGATACAGGGAAAATTAGCCCGGCCCCTGCACAAGGACGACAAATGTGGAGCATTTGATATTCCATAAAGTTTTTTAAAATTTTCTCAATCAAACAGTAACAATAAAGTAGAAAGCATTAAAGGGAGACACTTATATCTTCCTCTGACCTCCACCCATGCATTCATGGGCATGCATACCCACACACATACATCACACACACACACACCCTACATATATACACATACATCACATGCACACACATACACACACACAAGAAGAAAAGGATCAAACCAACCAATAACCAAAAGTCGGATATTTTTCAGAGACAATATTTGGAAAAGCCTGCTGAACAGGAGTTACTTTGTTAGCTGTGGAAGCTGCTCAAGAAACCACACCAGGTGCTTCATCACTGTGTTTGCACAATGCTATTTCGGATTTATATTTTCCATATTGACCCTTTGTAATAACCTCTCTGAAACAATTCAGAATAATATAAGGTTTTTTTCCCTCTAAATTTAATAGAGTGACAATACCCTGTGGGTATGTGTTGAGGAAGGCACTCCTGAAGCCACCCTTCCTTGCAATTTTAAGGGAAAAATATTCAAAGTTCATGCATTGTTCTTTATGTGGTCTTTTAGGGAATATAGAATGTCTTGACATTGTTATGAAAGATTTAACAGGAAACAGAAACTACTTTGAAACACAATAAGCTTTAGAAAGGAAAATGCCTATTTGATGCACACACACACACACACACACACACACACACACACACGTATCTTCATTCTTAAAAAGAAAAACATATGGTGGATAGAAAAACATTTCCGATATTGAGATGCAGCTAGAGAAGACACTGAGGCCTATTTAAAAAATAAGACAGTAACACTATTTACTACTATTATAGTGCCTGTAGGCTCAGAGAGAGTTTATGCCAGAAAGTGCTATTGCTTAAGGGTTAAGAGGCAAGAGGGATGTGGTCTCAGGAAAGACATGTGGCACATACCCATAGTCCCAGCACTTGGGAAGCAGAGGAAAGTCCACTCTGTTTATGGTCGGTCAGCTGGGACTGCTTGACTCCTTAAGAAAATCCCACCTAGATATCAGGGCTGTTAAACACAAGGCAGGAGCTATTTGGAAAGATGCCAAGGGACTGGAAATACAGGTTTAGGAGCAAAGAAATCATTTTTTCCCCCATTTTAATTAAAACAAACAAAGCAAGTACATGAGAAAGAGGACAGCGCCTAAGTATTAAACCAGCCAGATTATTTTACAGAAAAGAAGGGCTCCACTAAGGGATATTAATGGGCAGCCCCAGGTATCAACTTGGATTGAAAGAGTAGTTAATAGTGTTAATCAGAACACATGACTCCATCTGCCTGCTGAGTCAACTTCAGTTATTGCCTTAGATAAATGGTGTTGGGTACCTGCACACAGCTCTCGACCATTTCAAAAACCATGTGATCTAATTCTGTGTGTACTGACAATCCCAGGCAACCATGATGAAGGCTCTACCTCTTTAAAAATCAGTGACATTTCTGTGGTAAAAAGAAGCACCAAGTTACTTTACCAAGCATTTATCCCCAGTCCCTTTCAGCACAAACCACTCCTTTAAAAATCTTAATTTCAGCTCAGGTTGGTAGGAGACTACACCCCTGCACTCAGGAGGCAGAACAGGCAGATCTCCGAGTTCAAGGCCTGAGTGGTTTACATAGCTAGCTTCAGGCCAGTCAGGATTATGCTAGAGGCCCTGGTTTTCATTTATTCGTTCGTTCATTCGTTCATTCATTCACTCACTCATTTCTTAAGTTAGACTCATAGCATGCTAGGCACTTTGATAGTTGAGAGGATTATTTCTGTCTCTCTCTCTGTCTCTCCCCCGCCCCATGGCATTTTTTTTTTTTTTTTTTTTCCTTGATGGACTTTAAACTCATTCCACAACACAGGCTTTAAAATTGTGATTTATTCCCCACGTTCATCTAATTTTCCCCCCCAGTTTTTAGCTGGACAATAGAGCCATAAACATCACATGGGTCCCGTAGCACATGACCTGCCTTAGGCGTTTACCTTAGGCAGGATGTCACCCAGGCAGCAGCCATCTCAACAGTTGAGCATTTTCGGGGGTAAAAGCTTTCAACATTCATTCGTTGAAAAGTCTTAGGTATCTTTTAAGGTTTACTGGTTAAGTGACCACTGATATTTTACTTAGTCACGTTAATTCTTTTGCTTCATTGCTGGTATGTCTGCCGGTTTTTTTTGTTTTTTTTTCTTCTACTAATTTAAAGTTTTGAACAGCCCTTCCCTTCCCTTTAAGATAGTGTGGACGTGCTCAAATCAATACTGCCTGCTCTAGTTCAAAGATTTCATTTTTAGTTTCCTTTAATTTCCTCCAATCTGAGAGCAGCTTCGGCTGTCTCTGAGCTGACGTCACCAGTGCTGGCACGTACTTGCTCGGAGAGTTTTCTCAAAGAGCGAGTTACAGGACAGTCCCCAGACCCAGGTGACTTGATGGATACTTACTGCGCTGGCTGCGGAGCCTCCTGGCTCTTCTAGGATGAGTGCGGACTTCCTGCCGGCGACTGGAAGGGAGACCAGAGTCCCCTCCCAGGCGGACGCTCAGGACACCCTCCCAGTGGAGGGCTGGAGCTCAGTCAGGTGACCAAGGAGTTGTCAGGCCCTCTGTCAATCAGCAAGTTAACCAGACAGGTTCTGTGCCCTTAAACAAGAGATCAGTCTGGGAGTAGCAAGTCACCTACTCTGAAACAACATATCTTTATTTGTGCGGTTTGTGGAAAAGACAGAAACAGAGGCATTTCATACTTTTATAAGAAATGACCAAGCCACCCCGATTTGTTCTTCCTTGCTAGGCAAATGCTCTACTAAGTTGTACCTTCCTCCCTCTTTTTTCCTTTTTAATTTTTGAGATAGCCTCTCACAAGGTTGCTTAGACTGGCTTACACTCACTCCATAGGCAAGTGGGCTTTAAACTTGTGATCATCCTGACAACCTCTCTTGTAGCTGGGATCATGGTCCTAGACAAAGGCATCTAAACCGTGTGTGTGTGTGTGTGTGTGTGTGTGTGTGTGTGTGTGTGTGTGTGTGTGTGTCTTCTCCTAGACAGGGGGCTGTCCCTCTAGACCAGGTACTGGTGCAGCAGAGAACACAGACAAGACCTTGAAGATAAGGAAGTGCTAGGTTCCGCCCTAGTCTGAGTTTAAGGCAGGCCTCTTGGGATGGCACTGAGCTGACACCATTTATTAACTGTCATGTGAGGTTCACAGGAAAGAGAAAAGTGGAGACGTTAAAGATAAGGTTTCTGGAAAGGAAGCCTTGCTTCCAAGGTGGCATTTATCAGATAACCACACTGGGATACAGGGCATCACTTAATGACTGACAGAAGCTAAGCATCTTCTTAAGCCAAATGATTAATTTAGCAGTTGAGAAACAACTCCCTATTTATGTGCATAAACACTTTGGGCAAAGATCTGCTTATTGAGTTCAGTTTTATGTACTTTACTATTATTTCTTTAAGTTTTCACATTAATTTAAGGGGTTTTAGCAACCTTACATTAAGCAAGTCTATCAGCGTCATTGTTGCCCAAGAGTATACACTCACTACACGTATGTCACATCTTGGTAACCCACATACTAGTTCAGTAGTTTTCATTATTATTATCATACCTGCCATGTTGACCAGCAATCTTTTATGTCACTTTTGTAATTGTTTTGGGTATCATGAACTCCCATCAAGGAAGACAAAGCTTTCTCCTCCTAGTGTTAGAGATGGAACCCATGACTTCTTCACACACTAAGCAATTGCTTATCACTGAGCTATGTTTCCAGCCCTTTGACATCTTTATATGGTCTGGACATGAACTTTCAGATAAAAAGTTAGCAAATGTCATATCTCATTCTCTAGATTGTCTGCACCCCGTTGTTCTTTGCTGTGCAGAATTTACCAAGTTGATGTGGCAAAAGAAACTCTTCTTAGCTGTTGGGAATACAACAGTATGGAGGTTCAGAAAAAACAACTTAAAAACAGGACCCTGGTCTTACTCATTAGTACAGTGCTTACCTAGCATGCTCAAGTCCCTGGGATACACCGTGGGCATCAAGGAACAAGGAAATAATAACAATAAATTGAATCAGATCCTGCAACCCCACTTCTTCAGGGTACAGATCCAAAGAAAATGAAATGAGCACATTGAAGACAGGTCTGTGTGCTCAAGTTCATTGTAGCACTCCAAACTGATATCAAGAATGAGGTTGTATATACCTACAGATTCATTCATAAAGAAGAATGAAGTCCTGCTATTTGCAGCACAATGAATGGAGCTGGAGGATGT